AAGCCGTCAGTCCACTGTGACGAAGTTACCTTCGTCACAGGTGCAGTTCCTATTTAAAAAAAAAAAGTCCACCATGATCAATTTAAAACATTTAAATATATTTTTCAATTATAATTAAAAAAGATAATGAATGCAAAAATGATTGATTTCCTCATATTGCAATAGCAACATCAGTCGATATAATTGCAATTAGTTTGGATTTGGATTTAAAGCAGCACAGATGGGTTCAGCTACAATCAGAGCTGATGTACAATAACACAGAATTGGAGCCATCAAACACATTCTGCTGCTGCACATAAATCCAAATGTATTATTATGTGGATACCATCATTTGAGCAGTAGACTGTTGGGTTAAAGACTTTTATTTCTGGACAGCCACAGTTTCAATTTCAGAACTCAATGGCGAGTTTTCAGTCCGATGATTACAGAAAGTCATGATAAATAGCCTCTTCTAGGACACTGATCTGAAAGACTGTGGCATACTTTCACTCAGCCTGCCTTGATATGAAGAGACTGGAAGAGGCACAGACCAAGGAAGCAGAGGGGTTCATGGGAAAATATAGTCTGTGAGCTGTATATAAACGTTTTATTCGTATATATATATATATATATATATATATATATATATATATATATATATATATATATATATATATATATATATATATATATATTCTCCCACTAAGGATTCATTCCTAAGGTGTGGGAGCAATCCTGTAAAGATAGCTGATTCAGGGAAAGCTTGTGAGGCTCTTTGTGCACAAGGAGGCTTTCATTGCCAAGTGGCCTCATGAAACTAATTTAAAATCACTTCCCATGCTTCAAAGCACGTTGAATTCCAGCCAATAGTTCCTCAATACTGTACACCTAAATGTTTTCCACAGCACCGCCAAGTGACAAACCCTCTGAGCTTATTTTTAGACTGAGAGAAAATAAAGTGAATACAACTCATAATGAACTATTTTCTATCTCAAATGAATGGCTAAGGTCTAATTGCATTAGAAAAATGCAGGTTGAAACGTGTGATAAAGCCCCTTTACATGTGTCACATTATTACATAAGCTACATACAAGACACTCTTTTAGGAGAGAGGATAAACAAATGCAAGTCAGAAATTAAATTTAACCTAACCCTTTTTTTAATTGTCCCAAGCATCAATGACGCATTACATTTTATGAAAACCAAATCAATTTCCAAAGCATCATTAGCTAAATAAACAACAATGTATCAGCATTTAGCAGTCTGACATTATCCTCGGAGAATAAACAAACAGTCAATAGTTCAGATGGGGGGGGGTCAATGTGACTGGGCATTGTTGTTGTTTAAACAAACTTCTTCTCGGCTGTATTCTGATTCTGTTCCTTCTCATCTTAACTCCTGAAAGTTAAGGGAGATAATGCTACTCCTTAAACTGGTGTGACAATATCTGCTCGTCAGGCAACGATTCAGTTTGGTAGATGTGTTGGAATTACAAACACAGAGTGACGCTTCTTTCATTACAGGCGGAGAGTCTAATCTGCGTATTACAGCCATATCAGATTCGAACAAAAAGTTAGAATTTAGGTAAGGCACAATATGTCTGCCATTTTAAGTCCCTCACTTCAGTCCGCGCATATACATTCACATTCATTTGAATACATAGGCTGGGGAATATGGTAAAAAATCTAATAGCACAATATGTGTGATCAAATACCTCGATATTGAGATGATACTGTAAAGGGTTGACGATGGTTTACACAACAATATCTTTGATAAATAATTTAAATAGCAATCTGGATATAATGGCTAAGTGGGTAAAGGCAAAGAATAATAACAGTCTGGTATGTTCAGAAACGTACATCCCTTTACCTGTTATGATAGTGAACATCTTAGAGAATATTATTATTAAACATAATATCCAAATATAGCCCAGCCCTACAAGCATGGGAGTGAAATGTTGCAGCAAGACTGTTGCATTGAAAGTGCTGTTTGGAGATATTCTAAAATGTGCCTGTTGGACTGCTCTGGACATCCCCATTACAGCCCAATCAAGCCTGGACGGGGACATCGAAATGTAATCTGTCATTAGAAGCATTACCTTACACCTGTGAAAAGGGCCTTTACAGAATGTCAAAAAATCTCCATTTCATTTGACCCCCCATTTTCTCTGCATTTACATCTACTAATAGGCTCTGGAGAGGAGCGTGTTCATGAATGTCTGAAATGTAGATGGAATATTTTAATGAGCCTGGAGCTCAATGTGAGACTAACTCACTGGGCTGAAAACGCTTCACAGCCTAACAGCAAACGCGTTCTCTCACTGTTCTTTATTTTGCTAATTGGTGATAAGAGTGAAGGGGGTAGGCTGGGGGTTCTGACTTGAAGTTGACTGCTTATTAGCGAGGACTATAAGAGCCAAATATGGAAAACTCATTAATATGCTGGATAGTGCTGCAGAAAGAGAGCGGGATGCTTTGGTGAATGGCTCTTCACGGTGCCATAGTATTTTTAAAACACCATGTACTCTGAGCTCAGTCATATTTTTACTTAATGACTTTTGACTGACTTTACATACACAGAAGAAACCACGTTACCCTGAGTGTACAGGTTGCACTACCAAAACCATATTAGTGTTAACTTTGACTTGATTATGGATCTGGACCCATGCTAGCAGAAGTCTTTGAGCAAAACAGAAGGACAAGTAAGGCTTCAAACTAAAAGGTAATGTTGTTATTTGCACATGTGCATTGACCTCTAGTCATGGTTTCTACTCGACTACATGAAACCCAAACTCATTTCAACTGTTATCAAACTTAAAGTAAAACTCTGGTTCACTAGAGTATTGTTTCATCCTCAACATCTAGAAAGCCTCATTTCAGACAAAGCACTCCTGGACTCAGACAAAACTAACTGTGAAAGTGCACTTCCCCTTAACATCATCAAGAAAATTAAGTTTTAAGACTATTTTAAGGTTTCACAAATCAGTTGACTGCACACAAAATACAATTACTGTGTTACACAAGTGCATGACTCTCCATCAGGAAGGGGCAGTAATATGAGGGGAGGGATTAAGGGATCAAAATGATTTTTATAATAAATAATTAAAGTTTTCTTTTTTTGTATCAAATTACTTTAATATTGTCTTACAGCAATTACTCCAATTGTGGTCAATCATTTATTATTCTAGCAATGTTTTAGAATTGTTTTAGTAAGAAAACAGTCCGCAACAGTAGGAATTTTCACAAAAACATCCATCCATCCATCTTCTCCCGCTTATCCGTGGTCGGGTCGCGGAGGTAGCAGTTCCAGCAGAGAGCCCCAAACGTCCCTTTCCCTGGCCACATCAACCAGCTCTGACTGGGGGATCCCAAGGCGCTCCCAGGCCAGCGAAGATATATAATCCCTCCACCTGGTCCTAGGTCTAGCCCTCGGTCTCCTCCCAGCTGGACGTGCCTGGAACACCTCCCTAGGGAGGCGCCCAGGTGGCATCCTTACTAGGTGCCCCAACCACCTCAACTGGCTCCTTTCGACGCAAAGAAGGAGCGGTTCAACTCCGAGTCACAAAAACATCACCAATTATATTGCTATTACCCGTTTCCTTTTACTTCTAAAATGTATGCCATGCTTATAAATACATTGTTTTGTTCCCGTGTTAAAGCTTTTATCATAGCTAATGTTAGGGATACTGAAATATATGAGGCAAACAAATGACACTGTGGTGCATTTATGAAATACAGCAGGGATCATTATTAGTCATTTGGGTCTAACACTTAAGAGGAGCTCAGAGCTCCCAGTTGCCATACATACGTTTTAATAATAAAAAAAAAAGGTTTGCTTACTCTTTAAAACCTGCCATACCTGTGCAGAGACCACGGCAGACACATTCCTACATACAATCTCTTACACAACAGTCTCTAAAGAAATGTTTGCCGACTACTGGGTGTGGAACCAGAGCTGGTCTCGGGCAGTCTTTGTTTATTTTCTTCATTTTGCTTGAACTACATGTGCAATGTTGCAACGTACATATACATTCCTTAAGTGAACAAAATGCTGTTGCATTGTAGGCGGATAAATAAGCAGCCAGAAAAGGGTTTTCTTAAAAATCCACTTACATAATACCCCCCAAAACCTGTTGAGAACTGTGTGTTTCACAACAAAGACATAAGGAGCTCTTTGAAATCTTGGATCTCTACACATCTGTGGTTTCGATGCATATTTGTTTTTAATGGAATCTGAAAACCTTTTGAGAATAATGCATATATTTTGAAGGTTAACCCTGAAATGAAAGGCCATTTGCAGGAATTGGGAGATTCCCCAAGACACTGAGAGGAAATACTCAGATGTTGGTACCCATGATGCATCTGCTGACTTTAGTATTTTTTTTAAGTCCTAAAATTAGTCAAGGGGAAGGAATGCCTCAACATCAACCAACACCAACATAAATTACCCTCTGCCGGTGACTCGAAAGAGGAAATATGCACACATTCTACACACAAGTGTAATATCTAACCTGGATAGTGTGCACCGGAGGCCAACTTAGCTTTAGCAGTGTCCTCAACTGAGTCTGTAACATACAGGTGTCAGTATTAGTTAGGTCATATAATCATCAAGTGCTGAATGTGAAATTAACTTCCTAATAAGTTACAATCTTAGAGTTTATGAGTCAACTCCCGACAGAATGTGCTAGTTGTAGAGGACCACACCCCTTTTCCAGTGTTGATGCAGTTACCACAGCAGCCACCTGATGTTACCAAAGAGCCACATGTTTTACTCGTTACTCCTCCTTTACTTGGTACAGGTGTGGCCTACTATACGCCTTTATGGGCCTGCCAATTTTCATTCAAAAACTCCACCCATTAATTAGCACTCCTCAAGAAGAGAGGAGGGACCAATCATTGAAACACCTGCCGAGTGAGAGAAGACTCAACCCGAATGCACGTGCACACGATGTTCAGAAAGTAGTGTACATCGATATCGATTCATTCCCACTTATAGCAGCTGTCAACTTGTTTATTTCTTACCTTGTACAATGGCTATGGACTCGAAACTCTGGAGCTCCTTCAGTAAACAGGTCCTCTCCGTCGGATGGAGGCAGTAGATAAAGTCTTTGGCTATCTTGGGGGAGTTGAGTGGCTCCCTCGGCTCGTTTCTCCCGTGTGTTCCCATCCAGCAGCTCGGTGTGTGTGTCCCACTCCCCGGCAGCCTCCGCGGCACTGCCTGCCTCAGTCCTGTCGGTAACTTCTGTGCCACCAGTGGGAAGGCTTTCTGTAGGCAAAGCTTTAGCATTATGGCGAAATGAATAAATGACTAATACTACAAGTCTGTTAAATGTACTGCTCTTTGTGCGCCGAGCTTCGTCGTCGTCTCCCCGCTCGAGCAGGGCTGCGCTCGGGCAGAAGTTGTTTCTTCGGTCCTACTAACGCTAGCTGCTAAAGAGAGAGAAACCGGTGACTTTTGAAGTCCGTTTCACTAAAACTCGGGGTAACTTCCAAGCAGCCGTGCATGTCTTCTTTTCGTGCTGTCAGCCGACCAACCCGTCTCACTCATGGTCTTTAGACTCAGCGGTCAAGAGTTTGGCAGATGAAGCTAAAGCAGAAGCACAACTAAGCAGCGTCAAGTCAGCAGAATAAAACAACTTCCGGAAGGAGCTTTCACAATAAAACGAGTTGCTTCCGGTCAAACCTTCAGCGTTAAATACACTGGAAAGAATGTTGCAACATGAGCCTGCTTAAAAAAAAGGCATAATACAAGACTGTAACTTCCCTTTGCGGTCAGGACAATGATTTATAAGCCAAACTATACAAAGCACTTGTATAGCACTCTATACATTTGTGATGTACTACCTATATATTATATATATTTTGTATTACTCTTCTTTTTAGATAAACATTTGGTTTAATGCAGTCCTGTTTCCATTGGGATGTATTGAGCACTCTTGACCCTTATCAATATTTAAATATGGAGTATCTGCCAGCAAAATAATTGTGTTCATTGTTTGTTTCCTTCATATCAGAGCTTCATATAATGAGATAAAAAATACAATAGAATGAGGTAAGGAATTTCAATCAGTTTGGTAATAGTCTTTCAATCCATCCACAGCTATAGGCTAGACAGGTTGAATGTACTGGTACCCTGTTTAAGGCCCCTCTACACTATCCCATAACAGAAATACAACAAGTTAATTGCATGTCAAACTGTGAGGGATGTGTCTGATAAAATCTTAAATGCAATTGGTCTCAGATTGTGAGGCCTGACAGATTCTGTGATTAATTCATGCCTAGCAAATAACAGGATTAATGAAAAAAAAAGGAAATCTATCTGTGCTGTTATTGATCTGTTTTAACAATGCATAATCAACTAAATGCTGGTATACTGATTCTTTTTTTCACAAACTTTAGTCAAAAATGTCGCTCAGCATGGATCCAAAAGGGAACCTGTGTAAGAGTGCTTATAGTTGCTTTATCGCCATGTGTTCTCATCAGATGGTTTGTATGAGGCATGACCTGCAGCAGTAATCACAATGTGAAAAGTTAACGTTTGATGTTCAATGTAGGATATTGGCCATTTCTGGTTGCCTACCTCTAATATGAAGTTATAAACATTATATGTTTTTGTGTTTATCTGCTTCTTATTTATGTTGTTGTGGTTCTTTATTATATATTTATTGTAGTGTAGTGTTTTTTGGTAGAATTTAGGTAATGCTTTGTAGGTAGGTCAATAGGCCCAATGAGCTCAGGCTTCAGCCTACACCTTTTATTTTATTTAAAAACTATATAACATTTAATTTGTATGATTATATAATATAGTTTTATTTTACCTCTTTTATAAATGTTGGTAAATTTGTTGTTTTGCAAATATATGATAGGTAAAAATGAACAAAAGCCATCACCAAACACTGCAAAAGTAACTTATTTGTATGTAATGGGCTTAACCCTCCTATTGTCTTCCTGTTCCCCCCCTTACTTTGGTGTTCGCGGTCAAATTTGACCGGTCCTGTTTTAACTGCTATTATACATTAACACAAAAACCATTAATCATCACCACATTTCATTTAACACCCTTTCAAACTGTAAATATTGTATCAGACTACTGGTATACATGAAAAACTGCAGTAAATATACAAAGAATAGACACTGAACATGTATTGCGTGTGCCAGGTGTGATCCATGTGGGGGGATGGGCACATAAGAGCGGGAAATGTATCAAATTGTTCTGCGTGTGTGTGTGTGCCAGGTGTGATTCACATGGGGGGATAAGGGGGGAACACATCTAGAGTGTGTGTGTGTGTGTGTGTGTGTGTGTGTGTGTGTGTTTTTTTTTTTATCTGATCCGGATGGTTACTAATTCCTTTTCTTTATGGCGGTCATGTTTGAACATGACCGGGAACACCATGGGTGTTACAAAGTTGACTAAATCATCCAAAATTCAATGAAAGTGGTGATCAGCCATTTGATATGTTCAAATGTCTACTGTGAAGGATATCATAAAGCCTTAATGCAATCGAATCTAAAACAAAACAGTTATGATTGATGAAAGTAGTAAATCGGTCAGATTTGAGTTTGACCCGAAGACAACAGGAGGGTTAATAAATAAAACATTGTGTAATGACGCCATCTGCTGGTTCAAACAGTCAACTGCATCTACACACAGAAAGCTGTACTCTCGTGTAAAGTGGATGATTGCGATGCAGAAGCTACATTATATTTTGTGTCACATGAGTACTAGACAGTCCTTTATGGTGATGTCAGTGATATCTGAGATACAGTCCAAACGCAATATCAAAGATGATTTTATTTACATAAAACTCTTTTTAAAACAAAAGGCAAAAAGAAACAGCTTTTACCTTTTGAAAAAGCTTTCAGAACAATCAAATTAATAATCAAAGTCCTTCATAGCTGAAACCGGTCAAAAAGCACAGCTTTCTAATTCGCATCTCTTTCGCATCGTCAACAAGAAGTTCACGGATTCCTTGCAGCTTATCTTCTGCCAGCAGTAATTACAACAGTAATGAACACGAGTTTGTAGTCAAACTCTTAAAGACGTTCAGGCTGTGGAAGTCTAAACAATGTAATACTCGGAGGAGTTGTGCTTGAAAGTGATTCAACACAAATTCACAATGAAGACCTCTGACGTCGCTGTACTGTCAAAAAGGTGAAAACATGGCTCTTAAATATTTTCTGCTTCTTTCTTTCATTCCAGTAGTTCAAGATTTGTATTCAGTGTTCAGTAGGACATCTGCTGCTGGAAAACAAGTGAGGGGTTGCTTCTTGTAGCTGTTGGACAGAAGGATAAAGCTCCTGTCCATCTGTACCAGTGATTTACTGAATAACATGGGAACATAAATGACTTCTGGTGTTACAACATGGCTACAAACTGACACCTAAAACAAACCACGGTACTTTGTTCCTTGTGAAACAAGTACTTCATGGTAGACAAACCAAGCGGCATCTTTTCATACTGTATTTGTGTCAATTACAATAAGCAAAGATAAATAATCCCAATACATTTGCATTCTTATTCCAAACTATTTCTGGGTTTGAAACAAGAACTTAACCAAAGGAAATACTGATTTGTGTGAAGAGAAATGTGCATTATTGAAAGAAAAATAAGTCTTCTCTTTTCCTAAGGGAGAACGTGTGCACATGTTTTATTATATGTACAATAACGTACACAATTGTAAGCGAGGTCGCACAATAGACCAGTAGTAAGTAATGATAGAGGTATATCAGTGATTACAGTAGCAAGTCACGTCTTCTTTTTTTGTTTTTAATCAAACACCTCTCAGTTTGTCTCTGGGTTGATAGAAAACTGCTTCACTCTCCTGCCTTCATTTTCTCTCTGGACACGAATACACTGTTTCAGTTAGGAAAGACACACATGTGGAACAGCTGTGTAACATGCTTGAGCTGTGATCAATCTGTAAGTCAGGCTTTGAGAGCACTTGTTTAGTAAGACAAATATTTCGGGATCAACTGTGCTGCGGAGGCACTTTTCACCCTCCGTCTGAAACCAGAGCCCTGTCTGCTCTGATTGGTTAATTTGCCCGATCTGTTGTGATTGGTCAATCACTTACAGATGTTGCGCTCTTTAGCCTATCCCATACAATATGTTGGAGCGCTAGCCTATAGATGTGCAAGTGTTACTTAGTGATGTCAGTTTGTTACGGAGTGTGTGGGAGGGAAACTCCATCTGGAGGGAACACGGGGATTGTAGCCTCTGCAATGCACACACACACACACACACACACACAAACACCATATAACACATTAAAGGAAAGGGAACAACTCCAGTAAGCATAAAAGGGACTCTAACAGATATTATTTGGCACGATTAAAAAATAAAACCTAGAGAAAATAATATCAGCACGTTTGAAAGAGAAATTCCTCTTTCTACAAACTCCTAAAACATGACTTACAGATGAATACACCCTGAATCCGTTTTGCAGTTCCACAGTTTGTCGTTAAGCTAACACACTCCAGTGTTTCCCCTTCACTACACTCTCAGGGAACATGAACTGCATCTTTAAGACATCGTCTAAGCACATTGCATGTCGGCGCGCACACACACACACACACACACACACTTCCTCACAGACACACACAAATACTCATTGGGGCTGCACAAAATCGAAAACAAAGTTGCGATCTAAATTATTTTTCTTTTCTTTGGACGAAAATATATTTCCACACCGTGCTTAAGAAGGCAAACTTGTGCTGTGCAGAACATACATGCTGCAGAACATACATGCTGCAGAACATACATGCTGCAGAACATACATGCTGCAGAACATACATGCTGCAGAACATACATGCTGCAGAACATACATGCTGCAGAACATACGATGCTGGACTCAGTCATGCGTATCAGCTTTGAGGCATTGGGGGGGAAAAACGTGTCGAGACAGCTTTGCCCGCATAGCAAGATATATATATCTCCGATCATTTGGGGATACAATAACCTTACGAGTTTTTGGTGTACATCATGCAGTCCTCACACACACACACACACACACACACACACACACACACAGAATGAGAGCAGCAGTTACTCTTTCCATGAGCCCTTATAGAGTCAAACCCAAATCAAAAAGAGACTAAAGAGGAAACGGAGAATAATATCCCTGACATATTTGGAGAACAAATTAAGATAGTGTTTTATAATTATTTTTTAACTTAAATATAATAAAGATATATGTATATTTCTCTCTATAGATCTCTTGCTGTCAGTCCTCGGTGGAGTCTGTGTCGTCGTTGATATAGTCTTCTTCTATGTGTGCGTTGCCGTTTTGCGTCCCCCACTCGTCCTCGTCGTACTCTATGCTGTCGTTGTCCTCCAGCAGCTCGTTGTCCGGCTCCCCCGCAGCCTGCCCCCCCGCTGCCCCTCCCTCCCCCGGCAGCTCTGCGTCCTCTTGTCCGTGCTGGTCCCCCCCCTCTGCCTCAGCAGCGACGTCCTGCGGCGCTGCGTAGCCCCCGTTGTTGTTGGAGAACGCCGCTCTGTCCCGGCTCTCGTCCTCCACGTACACCCTCTGGTGGCACATGGGGCACGTGTCCTGGATGTAGAGCCACTTCCTCAGGCACAGCGCGTGGAAGTAGTGGTGGCAGGGAGTGATGCGTGCCGAGGTGGCGAACTCCTGGTAGCAGATGGCGCACACGTCCTCGATGTCCCTCAGCTGGTCGCCGCGCATCTCCGGCAGCGAGTTGATCTTCTTGACGGCCGTGCGGCGGTTGATGAAGGTCTTCCAGCCGTTCTTGGCCTGCAGGTAGATGTTGAAGTAGGCGTGCAGGCACATCATGCAGGCGCGGATCTTGCTGCCCGACTCGAACATCATGGTGTAGGCGCCGTTGCCGAACATGATGACGCCAAACAGGAACTCGATGATGTTGCCCGAGGAGCGAACGTAGTACACGTAGTCGTCCAGCTTCTCCCACAGGACGTTGGAGAAGCCGTCCACCATGAAGAGGCCGTAGACAGTCAGGGACACCACCACCTGCAGGGAAAATAGAAACATTTGACATTTAGTAGGTCCTCTTTCAGATAACTACACAAACAGAAACAACGTTTTCTGCTCTTATAACCTTATACATTATCTGCCTTCAGCTGTAATCTGCAAATTAACCATCACCATCTTCAAGTTAAAAAGGGCTAGAAATGATTTGAGTATTTTCAGTTTCAAAAGTGAAAAGACGAAAAGGAAGTGGGTGAACTTCAATCTTTTATCACAGATTATTATTAGAATACTGGATTCTGATACATTTGGACATTCAGAGGTCTGCATTTTCTTTGATAGCAGACTGCTAAGAAGGACGCTCTGATTGAGGGACTATGTGCAGTCATATCAATCCGCAGAAAGAAGCCGCTGGTTTGAACTTTAGCAGTGGTCAACAAAACATGTTTGTTTTCTGTCTGATACTCCATCAGCAAACACAGTGGAATACTTTTTGAATATTCATCTTTATATATTGAGGGTGCATAACATTTGAGATTGTTAGACAGCTTACTATTGTCCTTTAAAGAAAATAAAAACATAAGAGGAAAAGGAAAGAGGTTTAAAGCCACAAAGTGCTGGAACACATTATGGGCTCTGGCAGTGTTTAGAAAACCTCAATCAGTGCTACAATGACTTTTAAATGAATAAAATGATGTTAAAATCAATGTGTTGTCGACAGATTTATTTTTTAAGCAAGTAGCCATGCAAAAAGCCGTCTGATATGCAGTGAAGCAATCATTACACATCCTGATCGTTTTCTTCCGCTATGATGACTGGCTGGCTGCACATGATACCTTACATTTCACACACTGAACCTCACAGACTGATGAGACTTAATAGTAGGTATCTGTGTGTCACTTTTTAAACAAAAGTAGCAGCAGATTCTCCCACTCACCTTGAGGCAGAGCTCCACGCAGAAGGCGGTGACGGCGAACAGCCAGGTGTTGAGGGCGTAGTGGTGCCACAGGGCGTAGCTGAGCACCACCGGGAGCGCGAAGAGCGCAGAGGACACCAGCAGGACGGGGAAATGGCGGCGGAACGAGGAGACGTGGGAGGCGCTGAGGGACATCAGGACGGGGTCCGTCATGCCGTGGATGAAGTGCAGGATGGCGGTCAGCAGAAGGCACATGTTCCGACTCAGGCGCACCTGCAAATCAGAGCCAGAGGGTCTCGTCATTGATAGAAAATGTTAAATGATTTCCTCACTACTTTCACACACAGGATGATTTCCACATAATCAGATGGAAGTTCACTTTGAAATTCCCCACTTGTTAATACTGCTCCTGAAACAAAAACTACATTTTACAACACTGTATTTAAACATATCATGATAACATTTGTATATACCCTCCCTCAATACACATTCTATACTCTATAGAGCTTGAACACACCATAACCAAAGTCAATAGAACCTAGCGCTGCTCTGTTATTTAACCAAGGAGTGCGATGCCAACCCTCTGCTATTATCTAGCAGGGGGCAGAAAGGGTGTACCAGGACGTATCCATAGTGAGGTCACTGCGTCTTTTAGGATTTTACAGCAAAGCCAGATCTATGCTTGAAGCATCTGTGATTCCGAGGCAAAAGTGATGTGAAAGACTTGTTCCTGGAGTTTTGTTCAGGGGGTTATGCCTGTCCGTGCACATCCAACTATATATTAGGGATGGGAATTTGAAAGCAAATGTATATTCGAATATTCGACCCCCCAAAAAACGGTTAACCGGTTAACCGAAATGTACATATCCTATAAAAAAAAATTGGGTCAAAAGAAAATGTCTAAAAAAAAATGTCAATAACTTTTGGAAATAAATAAATACATGTTCAAATAAGTATAGAAACCAAGTCGAATTTGTCAAATGTATTGAACTGGTGATCACAGTTTGACAGCTATAGGCCTACAGCTTTCATGTGCGGAGGCGATTCACAATCAGGCCAGCTGTAGGGAAGACCCTCTCAGCTGGAACGGAGGTTGCGGGTATAGCAAGGTATAGTATGTATATATATAAGTTTAATTTGGCATAGTTTGCACTCTACACCGCACTCACTAACCTGGTCGAAATATTTCCACACATTACTCCTTTTTGAGCCATGTCTGTTAGGACTCTTCTTAGAGTGTAAATAATTACCGGACTATGACTGGTAAAATATGTTGAATACCGGCAAAACTAAATCTCTCCTGGCAAAATGTCTATGTACTTTTCCGCCACACACGGTTGCCAAGCAGTGCTTATTGTTGTTTAGGCTGGTCACTTATGTGTCGCGAGTGTTGACAGGGGGCGGGGGAGCACGCTCATGAACTGTTAGCGCCGGAACCTCGCAACGGCTGCGTAGCGCATTTGCGCCGCATTTGGGCATAAGATGAGGTTTGAGTCTGTGTGATCTGCGTGTAGGGAGGGGCAGCAGGCATATCATTAGCTAGAACTAGCTAGATCTGATGGATTTGGACATAAACGCGAGTGAAGTACCGGACGCGCGAGAGAGAGAGATCAGCACCTGCAGCTCTGCCCGCTGTGAGGGACCGGTGAGTGGAGCAAAACACACCTTTAGACGTCACCTAACACATTTAGCTATGGCACTGTCGTATACATTGAATTATTCAATTTGATAATATGTAATCAACTTAGGCATCCCTCCCAAAAAAAAAAAAATTAATAAAAATATTCATAACTCATATTCGAATACCTGAATAATTATTCGAATACCTGAATAATTTCGAATATTCGAATATTCGATTAATCGTTCCCATCCCTACTATATATAAACATGCAAACGGGCAGAGAAAATGGAAACATTTGGGTAGCTTGATTACTTTTCTTTTTGTCTTATGCTTCCCTGTGCTGTAGCAAAGCCAATAATGTTGCACTTTCAAAATGTTGGCATCGACTTGGTACCGAAGTGTCATATTTGTGACACACCCACTTCAGAAAGGTTAACCTAGTTTTGCCAATAGGACATTTAAATAAGACTACAAATACAATGTTGCGTGTGAACCACAATATCAGTAAAGTCAAATCGTAATAAACCAACTGTCGACCAACTGAAACGATTGACTCATTTTCCCTACCAGGCGTTCCTCAGGGTCCAGGCTGCTGAGGCCGGTCTGCAGGGCGAGGATGAAGAACAGAACAGGAGCTACGAAGCCTAAACGCTTGTCCTCCTCCTCCGTCGAGCCTGAGGGTCAACACGAGACAACATTTACATTCCAGGATCTTTCTTATGAGCAGTAGTTACATCAGATGGTCAACGTTTGTAAACGACACACACTCAGCCGTACCTATGAAGGCCAGGATGCTGAGGCCGAGGTAGTGTGCCACAGAGGAGATGACGGCGCTCATCCCCAGCACGGTGAGCGTGGAGTCACAGCCGGAGATGATCAGGTTACTGGTCAGATCCCAGAACACATCCCAGCTCAGCAGGTAACCCTGGCAACAGAGAGGTCACACAAGGAAGCATGTCAGCGTCACCTAGAACTCCCTTTACTCTTTGTATTCAGATTATGCAAGCTTTTGTGGGCGACGATATCATATGGGGTTCCATGAAGGCAGTACCCCTGAATGATCTTGATGTAATCCTCCCAGGGGAAAGTCATTTGCTTGGCTTTACACATTTTGGTGCAGAGTACAGACATTTTGACCTTCATATGTTGCATATCTGCAATAAGAGCAGGGTTACTGCAGTGTTCGTGTAATTAAAAAAATGGGTTTAATGGCCTTTTTAAATAAAAAATGAATACAAGTTATTTACGGTCATAATTGTCAAAGAATGATTTAAAAACAGTAGGGGCCACTCGGCTTATAGTAATGCATTAAATCTAGAGTTGGTCTTTCCAAAAAAAGGAAAATGTGTATATATTTCTCTACATATCGACAGCAATTAATAAACCAATTCTCAGACAAAACAAAAAGTATGTTTTGTTTGTATTCCTGTTTGTTGAATAAAATGTTTTTTTAATTGTCTAATTATTATTGTTTTTTTATTTTCATTATCATTTTGGGGCCAAATGAAATGATTGGACCCATGTGTAAATGGTAAATGGACTGTACTTATATAACGCTTCATCCAGTCTTTACGAGCCCTCAAAGCGCTTTACATACTACAAGTCATCATTCACCCCTTCACACCTCGTTCAGAAACAGCAGTGCACCTTGCTCTAGGAACTAACATACACATTCAAACACCGTTGGCCATGCCGTCGGGAGCAACTGATGAAGTACTGATTAATCCCAAGGACACATGGACATGTTGACTGCACAGGCTGGGATCAAACCCACAACCTTCTGGTTGAAAGACGACGCACTCCCTCGCAGCCAGTCGCCCCTGTCTACCTGAACACACTCTGCCAAAGCACAGTTTATCACAAACTGCTAGCTTGACAGCTGTGAGTACTACAAATAGCCACGTTTGTTGTTTACATTCAAAAATAGACAAGTTTCTTGTTTACATTCATTATGATATGTTTCTGTTCAAGATGATAACTTCGGGGGGAGTGGTTTTGAATGTAAACCTGAAACAATTGTCTGTCAGCGTCGCCAACTTAGTGACTTTTTGACTTAGACACTTTTGGAGCTACAGCAGTGCTGCGAGCTACTCTCATAGAAAACTGGGGATTTAGTTGGAGCATTTTAAAATCTATCATACTCTAGCTTCCCACGATTAAACACCCTAGGTCTAAGTACATGCATCCAGGGTGGTTTATTCAAACTCAGTTCTTACCAATTGTTTATAACAAGGATTTCCATTCAGTTAATTGTATAAATCCTGAGGGCTTGTAGCCAAAATCACACTTTAAGTTTATAGATCATTTAACGCTTTCCAGAGCAGCTTGCAAACACATCAAATATTTACAACCTACTTTATTTTCAACAGCAAAAACATAAATAGCCAACAATACCTTTTCTAGGAGAATTAATTGAGTGTTTTAAGACCGGCAGATATGAGCTTTAAAGCAGACTGAATGGTTCTGGTCTCACCTGTGAGTCGGAGCCTCCATCTGTGAAACTGCCTGTAGCGTCTCCGCTCTCCCTCCTCACGGCCCGCACCACGTAGACCAGGATCAGCGCCTGGGCAGTGACCCGGGTCAGCCAGAACACCCGCAGCACGTCTGGGAATCTGATCCTCTTCCAGGTGTCCTCCAGCAGCAGCTGCAGCCCGTAGATCCGGTACATGTGGCGCACCAGCAGGTAGACGTACCGGCACGAGTAGTAAAACCATTTCAGCCTCATGGCCAGGCACACGGCCGTGTTGAGCGCCAGCGCCACGCCCGAGAACACGGCCACCAGCTGCCGCACGTCCACGGGCAGCTCGATCATCAGCCCCCACAGAGGGATCATGATGTCCAGCACCACCAGAGCAGCGAACACCGACTGGAGGTTGAGAAGGACCACGTAGCCCACTCCAAAAACAAGCTGGATGGCAGCCATGCCCAGCCACAACGTCGGCCCGTTTCTAGGCACCAGTCTGAAGCCCAGAGCCGCTTTGTAGTAGGCGCTGTAGAAGTCTATGTGAGAGGTGGCGTAGTAGTTGATGAGCACCGCTGCCATGCCGAGGAGCACAGCAAAGAAGAGGGTGTAGAACTTGAACAAGGCTTTCTGAGAGAGCAGCAGCACCATGCTGGAGATGAGGATACCTGAGACACAGCAGAGAGGCGAAGATTAGGGCTGCACAATTCATACAAATCACAGCAAATGTTGGTAAAGGCAACATTTATGAAAATATCTCAATGAAGTATTGTGGTGCTGCAGATATATCCCAGCCTACACATGGTATTCTATATTATTTTTAAGATAATGCGAATAATGCTTCAAACATAATAATTCTCTGTAAGATATCAAAACATTTCCCAACTGAAGTATCAGGCAAAAATTGACGTGATGGAACTATTTCCTGTCACACATAGAAAATGAACAGAAGACTTCTGCTGACTGTAGTTTGTAATGTTTGATATGAAACGTGCTAAAGCTGTCTGCAAAAACAGGGGAAGGATGTAAACATGGTTCTTATAGAGAGAATGGCATGAGTGCCAGAAACACAAATGAGATTAGCAGGAGAACAATCGGCTTTCAGTGCAATAATCAGGTCAAAGATACAACAAGCAGCAGGGCAAAGTGAAGCAAACACAGAGACAAATAGTCATAAGATATTTCTGCCCCATTCTGCTCACTTTCAGGTTCATATTTGTATGTAGTGTCTCTACTGTGACATGTCTCCATGCTTTAATGTTCAGAAAGCTCTTTTCTCATACTGCCTGTGCTGCAGCACCTCTTTTCACCCTCTGTCTGACATCAGAGCCCAGTCTGCTCTGATTGGTTAGCTGGCCGGCTCTGTTGTGATTGGTCAACCGCGTAGAGATGTCCCGCCACTTAGCCTATCAGTTACAATGTGTTAGAGCGCTGGCCAATAGCAGCGATGTGATGTCACTATGTTACGGAAGTAAACAAAGGACTACTATTGAGGTGAAGTCCCTGTGGAGGGAACACAGGGATTTCATCCTTTGAAGAGGCATAGACATTCATCAAAACCCTTAACATGGATACCAGGTGCACTTGTGAAAAATGACCTGAGATGAAAAAAGGAAGCACACAAAAATAAATGGATTGAATGAGCCTGAGTGTGAAAGGAATGCCTTCAACAATACACATAAGAGTGTGTAGCATCAACTATATACTGTTTGTTTTGCCTGCATGACCGTCATGACATGTTTTTTTTCTAACATAAATCAGCAGTTATTGAAGGGGACGGGAGGAACCGGTCAGACGGTCCTTGGCATTTCTATTTGTATCTTGGCAATGCAGTAATAAGTTATATCAAATGATACAATTATTTTCTGTTCACGACGCAAGATACAGAGTTTAAACTTGTTTTGGTTTTCTAATGAATACACTTTTACTATTTACTTGTGTACCTCAAGGCCTCTACATAAAGTCGTTTTGAGCTGTAACAAAACAGTTGGGGTCTCAGCAGATACAAACTAAGATATTAAACTGAACACAGCAAAACTAGACTAACGTCATCTGAAAACTGAGTAGCAGCAATAGAACAACAATGGTTTTGTACTCTTTGCTCTCATCTTTAGGTCAGTTTACTGGCTTTCACTGTCCTTATATCCCACTGCTTGTGTTCCACTTTGACCTTAGTTCCCTTACAACATTAACCTGTAACTGTCTGAGGAGCACAGAGACAGAGTTAACCATGGACCAGCTTTCAGAGTTCAATGACTAAATTGACTCAGGGCCGTGAACTTTGTTGTACCAGAGGTATTTGTGGATGTCTTCATTGGAATTTATTGAAATACTGTTCTTTTATTTCATCGCTATTTCCCAAAGTCTAGTTTAGATAGTCTTTGTTTGTGTGCATGTAACAAACATCAAAAGATTGTGGGTTGAGGTAAGATGATCTTGTTGGTTGACTTTAACCTTATTTACCCCCTCTAAACCCTGAGTGCTAACACCAAAAGGACTTCCATGGAGCCTACGCTGTTCAAAGGTCTTCTAACTGTACAAATGGACAGTTATATAACGTGGTAGGTGTTTGTCTGGGAACAGTGTTTTCTGCTCCACAGAGAGAGGCTGGTTCTCTCTGATAAATAACTGAATATATTTGAGTTTGGTACTGTTAGTCAGACAAAACAAGACATTTAAGCAAGTCAACTTGGGCTTTTGGAAACTGTCATGGGCCTTTTTGACTATTTTATGGACTAAACAATTAATCAGGAATGGAATAAAGATAATCTTTGGTTGCAGCCCTAGTGGTTTTTGCAATATCATTTTGCTATTATTACTGTAGGGTCGACCAAAAATCGTTTATAAATGTGCTATATAAATAAAACTTGATTTGATTTGATTATCCCAGGTGCCTACACCAAGTCCTATACAGCACTGATTCCTTACCAGGGGTATATGAAAGATTGTTAAGAAGCTCAGAAATATTTCATGAACCTACTTGAAATAGTACGCTCAGCTAAAGGTAATTGGTAAACTATTATAAAAGCTTAATTAAACAGATAATCAGAGAAGTATTCAACTAAAAGCGATTGATTATTGGTTCACAAAAACTACCTAACCTAAAAAGATCAGATTAGTTTTAGCTAGGGTAACTTATAAATTGGCAACTGGGTGTACATAGTAAACTAATGGATACATAATTGTCAATTTTCTGCCACTCCAATAAGTAGTTGTAGAACATCATATACTTGACCATATTGGCAAACGTATGAGTTGCAGCAATATCCACGTTGGTGTAATCATGAGTGTAAAAAACACCCAGTTTTAAATTAGTTTAGATAATATTTGCAACATGACAGGCGGTGTTGATAAGTGAGGAAGGGTAGTTTATCTGACAGGCTGTAGGGGAACAGCTGCCAACAAGGTTAAGAACCTCAACTTCAGAGTCCAGACCCTGGTTCTGATAAGATAAGAGTTCAGGTTACAGGGATAAAAAAGTGTTTTTTTATAGTCAGGTGCTAGGCTTCCTAATGTCCCCCAGAGTTAGGCTACTTGAAGGACCACCGCTGGATTCCGGCGTCGACACAGAATTTGACACGACACCTGAGATTACAAATACCTGAAGTTAGCGGTTAGCTAACCTTATAGCGAATATTGAGCATCAATTTAGACTGAATTACGTTTGAGGTTAACTATTTTAGCACCCTGTGGGAAATGGCAGGCTTTTATTGATGTTATAGCCGGTGGTTAAGTCGGCTTTAGTCGGTGTGACAGTTGACATAGCTCCACACTGATGACAGGCTAAGAGTTAGCTTAGCTGTCAGTTAGCTTAGCTGTTGTTGACACTATATGGAGGCTCCTGTTCTGGACTTTCAAATACTCACCCATGACTCTGACCAACACCTTCCCCATCGCCCCGGCCCATCCCGAACCTGGGTCGTAGTAAGAGTTAAAAATGGCGTCGATAATAAAGATACAGGGAACTCGCAGAGCCACATCAAGTACCGCTAAGGCCTGCTGGCCTAGCCGGACTTGAGTGGACGCCATGCAGGTTCAGTGGAGGGCGAACAGTCCTGAGGAGCTCCGGCTATCCATGTAACATTAAACTAAATGAAGGTCCTCCTGCAGCCGCCTCTAGTCTTCGGTTTCGCTTTCCCTGGCGTTTAGGCGATAGCTTGTAACCTGCTGACGTCCGCCATGTCCTCCCAGCTAAACCTCCTGTTGCTGCTTCTTCTTCTTCTGTTTAATGTGTGGCTGCTCTCATCAGGAGAGTTATGGCTCCAACAGTTACACTTCAGACTCCTGCCCCAATCCCGTCTCGTCAGTTATCGTTTAAAATATTAGGATCATTCTTGAATGACAATTTGGTTGCTTTGGGAACACCGCAGAAGTTGCCAGGCTGTTGGTTCCGACGTAACGTGACGTAACTTCCTGCGTCAGTGGGTGTGGCAGCTGACGTAGCTTTAAAAACAATCGTTTACATTTTTGAAAATCTGTAATATAACATAAAAACAAAAAAAGACTTTGTCCTACACAAATGAATGTTGCATTTGTTGTTTTAAAAACGTGTTCAATTTAATCTGTTACAATGCTGTTATTTTAGTTGTATTTATTTAATTATAAAACCCTTTATAATTCCCATTTTGTGCATAGTTCTTCTAATTACAGGAAAATTGAGGCTGACCTTATACTCGTGGTGTGCTTTATGGCCAACAATGGAAACAAATAAATAAAATAAGTACATGAAACATGAAAAAATAACCAATTGTAAACGCATTAAGGGAAAACACTTTTTTATTTTAGAATAAGACCAGAAACTATTTGACAATTCAAAATTGGCAAAGGGAGAGTTTATCAACCATTCTCACACACACACACACACACACACACACACACACACACACACACACACACACACACACACACACACACACACACACACACACACACACACACACACACACACACACACACACACACACACACCACACACACACACACACACACACACCACACACACACACACACACACACACACACACACACACACACACACACACACACACACACACACACACACACACACACACACACACACACACACACACACACACACACACACACACACACACACACACACACACACACACACACACACACACACACACACACACACACACACACACACACACACACACACACACACACACACACACACACAAACAGTAGTCCGTCTCCTGAATGTGTCTCCTGCTCCATCCTCAGCTGGAGCTGAAGAACACTCTGATGGTGTTGTTGTAGATGGTGTTGGACAGCTCCAGAGGGTCCTCCTCCCTCGCTGCTGCCATCACCTCCAGCACTTGACTGAAAAATACAAATAGTGAAACCTCATCAATTTACAGTTATTGCTAGTTAGATCTCTGCTCGCTTGCAAACTGGTCAATTTATTTTATAGGAATTGTCAATCTTTCTTCACCACAACATTACTCACATGATGTGACAGGGCTCATTCCTGTCCTTCAGACAGTGTCCTGCCTCCCATTTCTTCTTTGTGGGAAATGTAGTTTTTACGTGTTTGGAGCCTGCATGAGTGTTCTTTACGCCGCACCATGGAGCATCTGGGAGCAGGACGGTGTCAAAGCATAAATGAATGGAATAGTTTGATTACCAATGTGATACACTACATATCTAGAATGTTAGTTTATTTTGTATAATGCTGCAGTAAAAACACAGCATGGTGGATTTCAAATGTTTAAAACTGATGTTGCAAAACAACAATAATACTGGTTCTATTTCACTTGAGAATTTAACAGTAACATGTGGCTTTATGCTACTGTATTTAGCTTTATTTTAAGATTCAAGAATATGATTCAAATACCTTCTTTGACACAATAAACCCGCTTTATCTCACCTGTTTCTATCATGAGTCTCTCAGTGGGGATAGACTTCATGGCTTCAATATTGGCCTCTGTTTTCAAGGAACTGAAAATAAAATAAACAATAAACAGATTTCAAGTTGCACTATTGTTAATATGTATCTTCAAATAATAAAATGGTGTTTGATCTGTTTAAAACAGAGGTTTTGCTATATATTTCATATATTCAATATCAGAACTCTGTATTGTCCATGTGATTGATGAGAGTTAAAACTTTACATTAACAAACGTTTAACAAAAAACTCTCAAAAATGCATATTGTAGGCGTTATGCTTCCATATTAAAACATCTCCCTTCACTAAAGATTGAATTACATATTTCTCCTCCATAACATGTAAGCAGCTGCAGATTTCCCAGCTTTAAGGCAATAGTCTGCTTTATAGGCCCTCATCAGATATTCTGTGTGTTAGACCTGTGTAGCTGAGCCCAGATGAGGTTAAGGTTGTCTGATTCAGCGGAAAACAAACTCCTCTCACCATCCATTTATTCCAATGTAGAGGTCCAGGTCAATGAGGGCAGCAGCGTCCTCTGCAGTCCCGTCAAATGAGTGGACCTGAGAGGAGAGATTACAGGTAGCTGGACCATCATATTCCAATTGACAACTTATTCATTTCATTTTGATGACTGCATTTGTATTTATCATGATTATTGCATTTGTTTTAACATTTTAAAGCAACTGGTTTATGATGAAGATAATTAGTATCGTTGCGCATTCTAAAATAGTAACACAGTTTTACAGGAGTATACATTTTACTGTAATTTAAAATGTGTGGATTAAATGAATCTCTTCCTGTAAACTCTAACTTTTCTAGTATCCCACAATGCAATGCACAATGGAAACTGAGGAGTGATACATATCAAAACTATTTCAAGACAGCCTCCACCACATCTTGAAAAATGTAAAACGTACATATAAAATGTTATTTTTATGTTTATAAATCTATTAGTGCAATACTTTCTTGTGTACTTTAGCTAAACAGCTAACTGTAGAGAACAGTGTGGCGTATATACTAGAGCAATAAACAAGTATAAAACAAATGTTCTGGGCCGCCGGATAGCTCAGCAGTTCGAGCTGGCGGCCCATATGCAGTCACTGCTGCCTAGTAAGCTGGTTCAAATCCCGAGCAGGCTGAGACTTGCCAGTAACGTCCTCCCCTCTGTCTCCCCATTTCACCCCTGAGATTTCCAATAAAGACCCGCTTGCCCAAAAAGATAGCTTAATAAGAATAAAGAACAGTGTCCTCACCACTCCTCCAACACATCTGTCCCGATTCTTCTTCATGATTTCTGTCAAAGCAAAGACAAATGGACGGTAAGGTGATTGTGTAAAGAGTCCCTCTCATGCAGCAGACCTCCTGGAGCAGAAACCCACCGATGAACTCCTGGTGGGAGTTTCTGCAGTGCAGGAACATGGGCAGCCTGCTCTCCTCTGCCAGCTCAAACTGCTTCTCAAAGTATCTGTTACACATCAAGAAGAGAGGGACACATTAGGGCTTTATTTCAGGGCTGTACTTATTGTTATCATTGTGGAGTATGGACAGTAACAATGCTTTATTTATTTCCAATTAGTGCTAAAACAGTTGAAATATCAAGGAGTTTATCAACAAAAGATGAATAGACAAATGTTGATGAGTGATTCATAATGTATCAAACTAAAAGGCCAACTAATGGAGTTCCCAGCTTCCTTGATGTGAGGATTTGCTGCTTTTGAGTTGTATATCAATCTAATTGCTTCACCTTTATATGTGTTTTTCTCTGCTGGTCGGACAAAACAACACATGTTAAGATGTCTCTGTGGTCTGGGAATTTGCAGTGGACATGTTCCTTATACTTTTTTTGACAAACAATTAAGAAACAAATAATGAATAGACTAGATGTTGAGGAAAATAATCATTAAGTGCATTTCTAACATTAAGTTTAACAAGCCTTTCTGTCCATGCTTGGAAGCCATCAGAACATCTGCAATTGTAGGAAGCACTGGATATATTTTAAACCTCCAAAATCATTTGAATTAATTTGAAAATGTTAGAAGGAGAAATCTTAATTTCCAAGTTTCTGATTAAACTTCTCAGTGACAAAACCCAAAACTATTGATGAGGCATCACAACTGCCAGAAAGTACACTTTAAAGGCCTACAAAGCACATGCAAACAGTAAAAGTTAATATGCAAATAAAACAAAATAACCTTACTTTAGTTGAGTCTCTTTTGGGCAAAACTCCAACCTGTCAAAATCTGGAAAAAGGAAAAAAGACAATCGGGTATCAACATATAACTAAACAAAAATAAATACTTTTTGATACGACCCACACATCTTACTCCCACACTTGGGACACTAACGGACCAGCAGCAGCGTTAAAAAAATCTTGAAACGCTTCTGCCCATTCACTTTGAATGGGGTGACGTCACTTTCCCTCACTTTTCGTCGAACTGCATTGTGGGCAGGCGAGCGGAGATTTTCAGGATTTTCAGGATTCAAAGTTGAACAATGTTCAACTTTTGAGGCTGAGGTGGAAGCGTCAGCCAATCAAATCCCGTGTACGCAAATCTGACAGTTCAAGCTCTAGCCAATCAAACGGCGTGTATGCTGGGAGAGACATACCGCAGGTCATTTCCTCATATTCCAAAAAATGGAGGAGAAATTAGCGGTAGCGAATCAATCACCCGGTGCTTTATGACCAGACCTACCGGGATATAAACCGGAGGAGCCAGGCATGGAGGGAGGTGGCAGAGACAGTGGTATATTTTCGCCTGTTTGGGGAGTTTATATCCAGTTTACTTCGGGCTTTTTTGCTTCGTATGTCGCGGGCGGGAGATTCATGTGATTGGTTGTTCGTGCCTTGCTCGCAAAAAATCCTCAAGCTTCAGATACGTCCACCTCCAAGATTTTTTTAACGCTGCTGTGTAGACGGTCCGTAACGGACCGTCTACACAGCAGCGTTTAAAAAATAAACTGGATATAAACTCCCCAAAACAGGCGAAAACCTACCACTGTCTCTGCCACCTCCCTCCATGCCTGGCTCCTCCGGTTTATATCCCGGTAGGTCTGGTCATAAAGCACCGGGTGATTGATTCGCTACCGCTAATTTCTCCTCCATTTTTTGGAATATGAGGAAATGACCTGCGGTATGTCTCTCCCAGCATACACGCCGTTTGATTGGCTAGAGCTTGAACTGTCAGATTTGCGTACACGGGATTTGATTGGCTGACGCTTCCACCTCAGCCTCAAAAATTGAACATTGTTCAACTTTGAATCCTGAAAATCCTGAAAATCTCCGCTCGCCTGCCCACAATGCAGTTCGGCGAAAAGTGAGGGAAAGTGACGTCACCCCATTCAAAGTGAATGGGCAGAAGCGTTTCAAGATTTTTTTAACGCTGCTGTGTGGACGGTCCGTAAGGCATAATATGTCAAGTTTTGCCAAAAGTGGTTTCTTAATCAAAACAATGGAAAGACAGAATTTGGTGGCATTGGG